GTCCGGGCTGGGGATTCGAACCCGCCACCTTAAGTGTATGTGGCTGGTGCCTTAGCCGGTTGAGCTATAGGCGCCGAGCCAGACTCGTGACCTTGTATAAGTTAACTTAATCTTGTGTAGCCTCAGGCTTCAGGTTGTTATGAGGATGAAAAAAGATAATCTATTTGGTAGTGTGCCTGGCACTTGGTTAGCTGCTATTACTGAAAGAGAGGCAAGTGGCTTTGTGAGAATGCTGCTTTGCCCCAGATCATTAGGATTCTGGATAGAGAGAGAAAGGATCGGAGCCGAGGAGTGCTGCCTTGAGGAGCAGTGGGAATTGAGCTAGAGTATACTATTTGGGGGGGGGGGGTATTTATTCTGCTCATCTTTTCTTTTGTGCTGCTTTGTCTTGCTCCATTACTTTTGAAGAACTGAGCAGTCTCAAAATTTTCTTCTTTACTTTCCTGTCTCAAAAGCTAGCACACAGCTTTCTTTCTCAAGGGTTCTTATTGCTGCTAGTCACAAGGGAAGAAAAATAAAAGAGAAAGTGCCTCTTTCCTTTTTATTCTACCCTTCTCCCCTCTCCCCCTTTTAGATTTATCCAGGGAAGATAAAGACAGAAACACACACAGGGAAACCTAAAGCTTGAGTTCATTCTAGTGATTTTATCTGGGTTGCCAGGCCTGACTCTGTAAGCAGGGAATGCTTCTATTTATTTACACTTAAGACTTTAATAAATGTATAATGCTTTCAAAACATAGACTGAATAATATGATGTTCATAAGACTTCTTTCGGATTTTTAGATAGATAAAGAAAAGCAACATTTGTTTCTACAGTAGAAATTTTTTTCAACATAAATGTTGGGGAGAAAATCACAAACAAAAAAAATATTTTTAAAAAATTAATGAATGATTAATTGATGATGCAGATGAAGAAGGAGAAATATGATCCAACCCCATTCCTGAAGATGATGACCTTGGTGTATCAGGTGCCTTGAGTTTTGGTGAGGCAGACTCTGCTGTTCTGAAGTTCCCTGCTGTCAGTTTGAGCCCATTACCAACTAGGTGGTTTTGGGCAAGTTAATTGACTTTTTGGAATAGTACTTTATAGTATTCAAAGTATTTTGAATGTTATCTCACTTAATCTCTACCAGCAGCCACTTTATATGATAAACTGTGATGATATTATCTCCATGTTCAGAGAGGGTTGTCTACTTCTGGGTAAGGAGGGGTGAGAGCATGGGTTGTGGGTTAGACAGGCTTACATTTGAATCCCAGGGGTAGCAACTTGATCATTTTTCTCAAGTTAGTAACAAAGAATTGTTGTAGAAGTTAAATGAGGTAGGGGCCTCCTTACAGCTTTATCTCTTGTGGCTGGTACATGAATGTCACTCATTTGTGGAGTAAATAAATGTCTGGTATGGTAGGTCTCCATGGGAGCTTCCTTCCTTTCTAATTCCGAGTCTAATTCCTGTATCTGAATTTGAACTTGAGCCCTCATTTGTGTTTAATGATGTTTTGGGTGTTTTTTTTTGTTGTTGCAACCATCATTGTTCTTTTGGTAGGCTAGGCTGGATTCGAACCTGTCACCTTAGGTGTATGTGGCTGGCGCCTTAGCCACTTGAGCGACAGGCGCCAAGCCATTTGGTTGGTTTTTGTTTTATATTGATTTTGTTTTGTATTAATCTGCTTGGTTTGGTACTTGTTTGGGATTTTTTTTTTTTTTAAATCTTTATGTTTATTGTTGCAGATTGGCCGAGGGCTGGGTTTGAACCTGCCACCCTTGGCATATGGGGCCAGCACCCTACCCACTGAGCCACAGGTGCCTCACCCCTGTTTGGGATGTTTTTAAAAAGACAAGTTTACATTCTTAAGGATTTTTTTTTGAGACAAGAGTCTCAAGCTGTCGCCCTGGGTAGAGTGCTGTGGCATCACAGCTCACAGCAACCTCCAACCCTTGGGTTTAAGTGATTCTCTTGCCTCAGCCTCCCAGGTAGCTGGGACTACAGTTGCCTGCCACAATGCCTGGCTGTTTTTTGTTGTTATTGTTGTTGTTGTTGTACTTATCATCATTGTTATTTGGTGGGCCCAGGCTGGATTCGAACCCACCAGGTCTGGTGTATGTGGCTGGCGCCCTAACTGCTTGAGCTACAGGCACTGACCCCATTTTTAAGGATTTTTTCAGTCCAAGGAAGATTACTGATAGCCTTGATTATGTCTGAATCTAATTTTTCTGGTTCTTATTAAGCTCCTCATAGCTTAGTATGTTTTATCACCATGTTGTTAGACCATTGTTTTTTACTTATTATAACACTAAGATTAATCAATCATAATTCCATCATGTACAGACCTGACAAGATCATAGGTTTTTGCAAATGTGGTTTTGCAGTGAATTATCATGATAGCTATATAATTACCTTGTTGAGTATCATTGAAGTCTGTTTTATGCAACTCTTTTGCATAAAAGCACAAAAAATTTCTTCTTTAGATGAAATTAATGTTTTATAGATATATTTTTAGAATCTTATCATAGATATATTTTTAGAATCTTGTCACATTATATTAAGATATGTATATATCTAAGTATTTGAGGTCTCCCACTGGACTATGAATTCCTTTTTTTTTTGTAGGCAGAGTCTCATTTTGTCACCTTCTTAAACCTCAAACTCTTGGGCTTAAGCAATCCTCTTGCCTCAGCCTCTTAGGTAGCTGGGACTACAGGCGCCCGCCACAATGCCTGGCTATTTTCGTTGTTGTTGTTGTAGTCATTGTTGTTTAGCAGGCCTGGGCTGGGTTCGAACCTGCTAGCCCCAGTGTATGTGGCTGGTCCCCTCCTTAACCACTGAATGAATAAACCACCCTGCTTTATTCATTCTTATTTCCCTGCTCCTTAACTTTATTCCAATAATAATAACTGTATTGTACTCCCTGTGAGACAACATACCTGCTTCTAATCTGCAGCCTTCTTAACAGATTTTTAATTTTATCTTTGCCCTAGATTTTTAGATCTTAAATCCTATATAAGGTGCTACTGTGCTATATAGTTTAGGAAACCAACGTTATGTTGAAATTTTAATAATTAGTAAGGCATAATTTTTTGTTAGGTTGATGAAACAATCTTTGTTTGAAAAGACAGGAAAATTACTTGTGTTTTCTCAAGACTTCTGATCCTTATAATAGTTGAAATTTACTCAAATATTGATTAAAAGACCAGGTGCAGTGGCTCACTCCTATAATCCTAACATTCTGGGAGGCCAAGGCCTGTGAATTACCTGAGTTCACAGGTTCAAGACCAGCCTGAGCAAGAGCAAGACAACATCTCTAAAAATAGCTGGGCGTTGTGTCAGGCACCATAGTCTCGGCTATTGGGAGGTTGAGGCAAGAGAATCGCTTAAGCCCATTTCTTTGAGGTTGCTGTGAGCTATGATGCCAGGGCATTCTACTGAGGGCAACAGCATGAGACAAAAAAAAAACCCAACAAATATTAATTAAAGGTGTGTACTATGTACAGAGCACTCTATATAACCTTTTTATAAAGTAGACATTGCTTAGGATTAGACTTTGTTTTTTTTTTTTTTTTTT